CGTTCTAAACTATTAAGAAGACTTTCCTACACAAGAGGGAGAAAAAATATTTTTCGTTATAGTCTAAGAGAGCCTATCTCATGACACAAACAATTTAACAAGAAGAACACGTACACGAAGAACAAGTATAGGAATAATAATACTTATAATAATAATAATCATCATCAAAGCCCCCTCCCAACCTCATAGAATGACACTATTCCCATATGCCGAGGTAGCGAACCGTCTATTCCTACGCACACTACCAACTGCCTTTGCCTGGAAAAGGCCGAGAAGGAGGCGAGATAAGCGTTTCCACGACTTTCCGTGCGGAGTTACGCGCACGCGGACACGGCTCGACGAAATGAGAATCGGACGAAGATGTCGCGTGCGACACTTGGGTTTCCCTCCCTCGAGCATGCTGATCCTGATAAAACCTCTTTCAATGATGAGCTGACAAAATCTCGGGAAACAAGGATTCACGCGCGCGATTAATTCGTTTCGTAAATATATGCTTGGATCCAGCTTGGATTCCCCAAGCCCGACGTCGACCGACATCCTATCGAGCTATCGAGGAGGCGGTCGTCCCCATCCAAATTTACTTTCTCCTCAACGTCCGTCGCACTAAGCGACTCGTCCTTGACAACTCAATGCCGATGCAATTTATGGATGCGCAAGCAAGGAATGTCACTTCGCGTGGGCTTCCGAAACCTCTGAAATCTTGCTGACTCCGAAGCTCGTGTCTTTCCATGTCGAGCTATTCGTAAATTTCATTCTTCATACCATAAGTTGGGCTATTTACGCCTCGGTGCCTTTTACGCCAGACATTTCGCAATGACACAATACGATCGCATGACACGATTCTCGACTGTGAGGTAATATTTGATTTTGGAAGTCTGGCTGGTAAATATTTTCCATAGCGATTGTAATAATACACGGCTGTTTGTCCTTTTATTCAATCATTAATAATTTTCCAATTATTACAACGAACATTTGCATTTGCCTTAATGTAATGGAGATTGGAGATTGGAGATTCGCGTTTGGTTGCCACGCAATGTGCTTGATAAATAAACTTGGTCGCTTCTCTTAAAAACCACTTCTCATTCATATTTTCATCTATCTAAAAACTTTTATTTCTGTCACTTTTCAGTTTGACTCCCAAATTCTAGAAAAATATATATTTCCACTAATTCCTGATTAAATTTCAAATTTCACCTAACGGCCCATCTATCTTAATATCAGTAATTTAGTTATTTTTATAAAATAAAGTATAAAATAATGTATCTCGTGGTTTTATAATGTAGATATTCAGCGGTTTTTATTCGTACCAATGCATATCCCCATATTCCAAATATCATTCTAAAGACTTTATTGCTTCGAACGTACGTTTTATTTCCCTATGACTTAATAATAACTTATGTATTGTGTCCATCGAGTTAATCCAACAGCGTTAATCTATATAAATAATAAGCATGTTTTTCATCATTTTATTTTTACAATTTGTTACTAATTTTTCGATCGATAAATTGCTACTTGCTTCATCTGCTTTTTTTTTTTTTTTTTACCGATACAGTCTCAATTATTAGACTTTCGTTTCATGAATTTTCATACACTTTTTATAATATAAGGATATACAAAGTAAACAAGAATTTAGTTTATTTGGAATAAAAAGCTGAATTCTAACTGAGATTCAAATTGCTCGATAATATATGTGTAATCTTCAAAAGAAGTTTGTACAGGTTTGATAAGATATTAAAGCAAGCATAAACAAAATATCAGAAAAAGATTAAGTAAACATTACATTGAATTGCTTTTTTCATAAGTGAAAGTATTCTCTTGTATATAAATGCCATTAAAAGATGTCTAAAAAATAATTATTTTATATCTTCCTAATTAGTTTAATAGACAATTAACAATATAATATAATTAGCATGTATTGAGAGAATGTACACTTTTTCCGAAATCTCTTGCATTTTTAATTATTTATTTTACATAGAATAACGTCTTATACATATTTTAGCATTTTATTGAGTGTATCGTAGACTGCCTCTTAAAATTCATGTTTAAAATTCTTTTACAAAAGAATTCAAACCAATCTGCATAAAATAGAAAACGCTGTCTAGAAAAAAAAAGAGCATAATCAAAATTTTTTTGAAATAGAAACTGATTATTAATATTATCAATATGTAACTAATATTTATATTATAAAATACAATAACTTTTTTCTTTTTATAATACAATATGAAGTAAAATAACTTTAAAGATTCTAGGTATCCAAAAATACCAAACGGTAGAACATTTATTCATTATAAATACAATAAGTAATGTTTAATCAAAGTTTAATCGAGAAAATTTCTGAAGTGGGAAATATCACTTACCTTTTACTAAAAATTTTAATTGCTTATAATATCAGAATGAAGTTTAAATACCATAATTCTTAAAATTATATACGACAAATTTATAATATTTCACTGAAACTAACCTAATAAACCTAATAAACCTAACATAGAATTAACATAGAATATAACATGTGTGCTTTGAGTAATGCAATAAAAATATTCTCTTACTTCTCTATCATTATTCGAACATCAAATAGTTCTATGTATTATTACTACGAATAATGCTCTCAAAACTTACTCTAATCAATATTAATAATAATATGATATTAATCATAAAGTTCGAATAAGTACAACATACACAAGATATAAAAGATAAATAAAAGAGTCTTATTTTTCTTTTAAAGAATAATAATTTCTTTGGTTATTATATTCTACTATGTATATTAAATTTCGATAACGTAAAATTATATTAATAAAATATATTTAAAATAAGTTGCCTTAAACAAAATTAAAAAGAAAAGAAAAAAAAAATAGGAAAATGAAAAAATAATAGTTATAGAATTCATGATATCAAGCGATATAAATATTTATATTCATTCAATTATAAATTTTATTTAAAAGCTTGTATAAGATAAAAAAAATATATTAATTTTTTTCATTAAAATACTCTGGATGTTTTATTAAATATATTTTAGTAACTAATTACATTACAATATATGATTAACAAGTCAACAAAGTCATTTTAGGGTGAAAGCTTTAATCTAATAATGGTTCCTTCGACTTCATGAATTTCGAAAAATATATTTTATGGTCCAATATACCATACTTTGTCATTTATAAAAAGAAAAAAATTTAATTATCCTCAAAATACGTAATATATTATGCGAGTCAAACCTTAATTTTTCAAACAATTTATTAAAATCTACACACATTAAACTGCCATTCTGATATTGAAATGCATAATACCGATAGTTTGTTAAGCTCCCTCGCTCTTGCATTATGAATATAAATAATTCCTGATGAAAAGATTAGCCAAAGTTGAATATAAATATCGAATGTTATTTTTATTACAATATTAAAAAGTAAATGTTTCATACAAATTTATGGAATTAACGATGAATTGATAATAATTTTGATAATATATATTTTTGTAATATTGTCTTAAGTAAATTAAGGTGAAAGTTTAATATTATAATCATATAAATATATATGTATTTAAAAATTATAAGATTTATTTTTAACCTCGAATATCTAATTTAATACTTATGTTATTTTAATAAATTATTTCAAAATTAATCAAATTAAGAGAATAGAAAAATTTAAATAAAATCCCACACATAATATTATAATTTACATCGCTTGTAATATGTGTTACTTATTAGAAAGATGTTTGACAATAAAATGCAAACACTTAGAATTATTATTATTATTATTATTATTATTATTATTATTATTATTATTATTATTATTATTATTAATGTTAGGATAATTGGTCGATTGTTTTCAGTGAAAAGGTTAGGTGTGGCAAGTTCCTCACTAATAAATATAATATTAATATGATCAACCATAGGAATGACAAACTGTCTGTTCTAAATAAGTTGACCGTCATGTTTGTAGCTGACTTGAGATATACGTCACTAATGCAAATTATCAACTCTAACTCTTATATATTTTGTCTTTGGAATAATCTTACTGGCATACAAATAATCTAAGTGCGCTATTACATCTTTTACAGATTATATCGGCAATTATCCACATGCATTGAAAATTTTACACTTTTCTTCAATCGGTAATTTCATTCGGGATAGCCGCAAAATTATCCTTCAGTCCTTGACTCACTTCCAGTTAAAAATCACTTTTCATGTTTCGTTTTGAACTTCAACACTGCCTTCAGCCTGCCATGGTTATTCTTACTTTATGAACTAATCTTGCTTTTGCTTAACAATCGTGTTCAATTCGAATCTCATAATTCCGCTCTGTGCTCTCGCCTATAGCTGTAATTCCACGCATTTTAACGTCCGTTGTACTTGCGAATCGTATTTTCTTTCGCTCTCTCTCTCTCACTCACTCACTCACTCACTCACTCACTCACTCTCACTCTCACTCTCACTCTATCGAGAATATCACTTTTAATAAAAATCTAGCAACACTGTATTGAATTTTCAATGATTAACATGTAAAAACACACTAGTTGATAATAATAACCAACTGGCACTTATAAATAATTATTCGAAATTATATAAATGAAAAATATTGTGAAAAATTTGTAAAATAAGAAGAGATTATTTTAAAATCAATATTATACGAAAGCACTTATCAAATATACATTTTTTAGCAATTGAGTACAAGTTTACATTCTCTATAAAGGTTATTTATCTTTTGTTAATGTACTTTGTTGAAAGAACCGACTAATACTTTATGATTGTTAAAATACCGAACATATTAATAAATTTTGTCTGAAAAAAAATATATCTATATTATTTGTGAGTGGAAGAATGTGTTTTTGCAGATGAAATATCACGAAACAATTGGAAACAATTGGAAACTCTCTTGTTTGCTAATGCAAAGTAAGGTTACAGAGATGTCCGCTCTAATAATTGTCATTCAACTATTATCTATTAAATTCCTTAATTTTATAATAAAAAACAAAACAAAAAACAAACCTAAGTTTATGTTCAGCAGATCAGAAAGTGGGAGTACAGAAGAAGTGGTGCAGGCTAATGAGACTATTTGCGAGTACATCGGCCACGACAATGAGGATTAGGATAATCGTGTTTTGCGTTCTGAGCATCCTTGGAGGCTGGTCCGTGGCCATGGACGAGACAGCGTCTTCCCTAGCTGGTGGCTCATCCTCGTCAGCACTTCCAAATTCGGCTTCCTCCTCCCTTCACGGGCCGCGCTTCAGCTCCCTCGTAGATCCGCGGGATCAGGTCCTCGGAGGGAAGAGGGCTTACACCTACCGTTCAGAGTTCAAAAGACTGCCGCTTTATCAGTTCGGCCTTGGCAAACGCTGGGCTCAGGGCATCGAGGGCAAAGTGCGTTTCACCCATTGCATTAAAATTATTATTTACATTAGTTTTCTTCTTTATCGACGTAGGCGCTGCGCTACTATTAAGTAGTGCCATGACATTTTAATGTATAAAATGCTGACAAGTGTTACCGTGCATATTGAAATAAAGAATATTATCGCAAAAGACATTTTTATTTACCGAACGAAGCGTGTGGATATATTGGTTGAGTTAGCTTTTGTAATATTACTCCCGGATGAACTTTATCTTGCGAGTTAAAATAATCTATAGATTAAAGTGATGATCAAACAGTAGCAATTTTATGATAAAAATTTTGATTTTTTATAACATTAAGTTGTTATTTCAGCAGGCGTATACACTGCAATAAAACTTTTACTATCAATTACATTTTATATATTGAAGAATAAAAAGCAAAATTTTTATGTAGTAATTCGTCATTGGCCTCTGTAACTATCGCAATACATAATGCATGCACTTTATCGCAAACGTACTACATACATTATTGTTAACAATATAAATAAAGATAATTTATTTGACCGGCCCTAATACGCAATTCTCGAAATATAAAAATATATTGCAAAAATTTCATTTAATTATGAAGCGCCAATCTGTAAAGGACATATTTTCTTTTAATTGTCAAAGCATTGCTAATTGAAAGTATGTAAAAAAAAAAAAGTATGAAAACATAAAATGTCAAATTTTTTATTTAATTTTACTCAGTTAATTAAATTTATATTTATTCTCTTCTTATTATTCCACTATGTTATAAAATACACGCGCGCGCGCGCTCACACGCACCCATACACATATATATATATTTATTTTATCCTGTGAACAATATTCTAGTACTTTATTTATTTATAAAAAATTCAGAATTATTATAAAATCGCTATCAGCGTTAGTTAATATTAAAATATTATTTTACATTTATTTATTATACAATTATTTAAAAATATTAATATAAATAATAAAGTTTTGAAAATTAATAAAATAATTGAACTAAAATTTTCTTGCTATTCAAAATTTTCATTCTATCTATCATCAAATGATATATATTAATCATTCTTAAATGTGAAATAATTATCCTTAAAAATAAGTTATAACTTACCCAATTTATTGATAGACAAATTTCTAATAAAAATAATAAATTGAATAAGTTATTTTTAATAAAAATTACTTGTGTACAAATAATGTTAGATATTATTTATTAAAAATTTTCTAATCTCCATTACACAAAATTTATGCTTTATTCTTTTCAAACGAGAAGCAACTTTCATTCTTATGGTGTACACCGCATTTGGCTTACTTACGACAAATTTTTAGTTTAGCTTTAAAAAATTCTCTCACTCAACCAAACATATTTATCCTTCAACTTCAATCTTATGCTTCTTAATACTTTATATATAAGATAATACATATATTTTAATAATAAAATACGTATTGTTACTGGTTTTATTATTATTATTATTATTATTATTATTATTATTATTATGTTTTCTTTTAAAAACTATACTGATAAAATTATTATATGAAAGTAATAAATAATGTCACAAACGCATAAAAATTAACTGCTTCGACTTGAATTGATAAAAGAAAAAGACTTAATTTGTTATTATATTATATTTCTAGATTATATTGGAATAAATGTTCTTATTTCAATATTTAAATTTATGATAAAAGGAACGATATTCATTTTGTTTTTTTTTTTGTTTTTTGTTTTTTGTTTTTTTTTTTTATTATTATTGAAGCATATTTGTATTTCCTATATACGTACTAAAAAATAAATTTTTCAGTCATATTAAAATTTATCAGTTGGAAACCTCTTGTTCTGCTCTATGACAGATAATTGTCAAACACACATTAGAATTACATTTACCTTTAGAATTGTGGTGCGATAACTTTTATAATAACTAATACCATATATAGAAGCTTATACTCTTGACTTGAAATATTTAGTCTTTATTATATGATCGAATGAAAATATGAATATGTTTTAATTGTAACAATATTTCGTATTTTAAGGTATGAATTTATTTTGAGAACATTAAAAACATTTAAAATTTACATCGATCGAAAGAAGTAAAATATAAATGATTACATATAATAAAAATATTCACGAAACATTGAAAATTTACTTTTTTCATTGTATGTATTAATGTACCAAGAAGAGAACGTAAAAACTTAACGTAAACTTGAACTAAACTGATAACATAAAAGTATTAGAATTTTATTCTATTTACTTTGATAAGCTTTGCTTCATGTATATTACAGTAGGAATCTCTAAAAAAATATTACCATTTATATCAAATAACAAATGTTAATAATAATTTGTTTACATTAGATATTTTTTACTTAACTTGAATTTATGATTAACGATAATAATTGTAATTTCAAATCGAATAAAGAATAATAAATGAAATGTTTCTATAAATAAGCAATATATGCATTAGATTCAATAACTGTGTAATTTTAAAAATAATTATAATTTAATTTAACACTCCGCGATTAATGAAACATGCACATATTTTGTTATTAATGAGATATGTAATTGCAAATAAAGTTATAATCGTATTAAAACTTAATTACATATATTATCATTATTTGCCATTAAATAAATAAATATAACCAATTGCACTTGTATTACCTTATCTATAGTATTTTATTTCATTTTATTTTATCACATATTTACATACTGTAATATTCTATAACATATTAACATAAATTTAGGCAATATTATTAATAGCTTTAATATCTTCTAAAAAAAAAAAAAATAATTATCCTTTGACTTTTAGCAATAAAGATCTAATTCTATTCTATTTATGTGTTAAGACAATCCAAACTCTGTTTCTCCTTACAACACGCGTAGTGGTAAGGAGAGTTGCGCAATTTCATTTAGCAGTAATTTTACCTTCTATTTAAGACATTTATAAAGTTAGCACATTGGCGTTTCTGATAAGAATGTCACTCTTTCGGCCCGATCTCCAGAGAACTCAGCCCTTCTCTTTTGGCCTCGGCAAAAGGACGAGGCAGTACTCCTTTGGTCTTGGAAAACGGAGCAACTACGAGGACAGCGATGACACATCGCGATACGGTTTCGGTTATATACCGAACGACCAGTACGACGCATACGCGCAGAGGAATGCGTTTGAGAATTATTTGGAGGCCAAACGTACCGGGGGTTTCAACTTTGGTTTGGGTAAACTATTAACCAAATTTACCATTAATATTGCAACAATAATAGCTTTCTCATCCAATACGTTTAACGCTATGTATTGTTCCTTTTTTTTTTTTTTTTTTTTTTTTTTTTTTGTATTTCTTCGTTTAAATTGCCTCGTATCGTCGGCTTGAAAGTGAAGTTCGATAATGAAAGTTGTAGGTACAAGTCCGTAACCATCGGATGTTCCTCTCGTAATAGTCAATTCGCGCACTCATCCAAAAGCGTAATATAAATATCACTTTAAGCACTATAGATCCTTTCGAAACGTTGATCAAAAGCTTCAAAGCTACCGTAACGTGAAATAATATCTTATGAAAACTGAAAGACAAGTTAAGCTCGGCCAAGTGGATTAGTGCTCCAATACTTTGACGTCGTTGCGGCGAAGGATTAACGAGGCGAAAAGTTAAATGCACGCGATCCGTTCTGTATCGCGTAATCAGTCGAGTCCGCCAGTGTGGCCAGCGATCGAGTAATTTCAATCGGGATTCGGCCATTGACGCGCGACCCTTAACTCTTGTGTATTGTGGTGCAGGTAAACGCGAGGCGGAGATAAACGACGACGAGAAGCTCCCGGCCAAGAACTTGAGGGACAAGTATCTATTCGGCCTTGGGAAACGACTGTACGAGGAGGATCAGGACGAGATGGACGAGGAGGAGGCATAAGGAGGTTCCCGTTGATCGCTAACCCTCGCCCTTCTCGTTTGCGCGGGCGCGGCTTAGGATTAATGAAGATGAGGCGAGCGGCGGCTGCAGCGTCGACGAGACATCGATCCATGTATTATCTGACGAATTATACGTATTATGCGCTCGCCCCCTACGCTCTATTATGGCTCATTATATTTTTTGTTCGTCACACGTCAATTTATCAAGCATATTTGTATAAGCGCATGTACGATTTGGCGCTCCGTAGCAGGATGAGGAGTAAAAGGAGAAAGATGAGTCCTATCGGTGCTAGAGGGAGTGAATGAGATGATGAACAGGATAAGAGAAGTAATAGAAAAAAAGATGGGAAAGTTGAGGTGACTGATGTTAGTGTATATGTATGGCGGTGGTTGTGGTGGTTATGGAGGTTGGGCGGTTGGGGTGGTAGGGGGAGAGAAAGATAGAGAGAGAGAGAGAGAGAGAGAGAGAGAGAGAGAGAGAGAGAGAGGAGATAGGGAGGAGAGAAGGCGTAAAGGTAATGTTGAGCGAGGAGTATGACCGATGGACGACTGCTTGTAACTGTATTGCGCGTCTCGGCACTTACTCTATCTACAATCCACGCAAAACACAATCTGTAATGAAATTTCGATGAAATATCGTGTATAGCATCTCTGTGGAAAAATAAAATGGATATAATTATACGTAGTTTTGTCTCTGTGACATTGATTCATTCGTCATTCTTTTATTACGACTCTTTAATTTTATTCTCTTCTAAGCATGCGACACAACTTGTTTCGTGTCAAATCTTCCATGTATTTGAGATTTCATTTTCTAACGATTAAAATATTGATTAATGTATAAAAAAAAAAAAAAAAAAAAAATCTCCCCTGACTTTCCTTATTTTATACTTTTCGTTTAAACTATTAAAATTTCTCGCCATCATTTTACATTCTATTCTTCAGTCATTTATCCATTTATTCATGCGTCATAAATTCCCCGCAATACAAACAAAATAGACTTTTCATAAGTCATATCACTTACGTATATTAAAAATAATGAACATATGTATAGTTTCTTTTCCTCCCATACCTTATGATAAATGAAAATCCATCTAACCGTTCAACTACAAAATTCTCTCGTAATTCCTATTGCATTCAAATAATGACGAACACATTCAAATCGATGATTTATATAATAACACTCACATGTCTACATATACATTTACGAGTGGTAATTGGCATTCGATAAGTCAATATCGTCTGCTCGTACACGCCCCCCAAACACTGTTAACAAACCATCGAACCTAAGCATTCGTTCGTCTCGTATGCTCGATGCGGCAACGAGTCCCTACGCACCATTTTGCGCTCTTCATCAAGTAGAAATCGGAAGAAGAAAAATTGTAGGAAACATATCGCAAGTATCGTTATCATGAAGTCGAGATCTCAAGGGTCGATAATCGCGCTTATCCTAGCAACGGTGTGTCTTGAAGTTCTACCGAGTCTTGGCCTGGAAAAGTATTGGATGGCGGACGTAGACTGGTCGAGCCCCGGTAATTGGCTGGACGGATTGCTACCCGAAACTGACACCCGAGTGATATTTCCGGTGGAGGCGAGACACGCAGTCGGATTGCCGGGAAACGCAGATTTGAGACTCGCGGGTATCGAGTTGCCCAGAGACGGCATCGTTGCTCTCACCGAAAATGGAAAACTCACGGTGAGTATCCAATGAAATGGCGGCCACTGAACATTTATGCGTCTCAATAGAGGATGGACGGAAGGCCTCATCGAGTTACTGATTTTAAAAACTTTTTGATTATTATATTTTGCGCCCGTGCTTTTACTCGATTTGTCACATCCATACGATTATTAAGAATAAAATAATGTATGCCAAGTTGATGCTTTATGGATAGTTGCATTTTTGTGATACGATAGTTGTATGTATTTTTAGTTTTTATTTTTTTAACTGAATTTTTTCATCATTTATTATGTCTCATCATATATTTACACATAAAATATGTTCTTTTAAAAAATATCTGTATAAATAGTAAAGGAACGATTTCAATGAATTTTTATTTAAAAGTACAATCGTCCGATAAAGCACCATTCCATATCATTCGTTTCAATTTTATAATTATAAATATAAAATATAAATGAGAATTTTAAACTGTAAAATGTAAAATGCTCTCTCTTTATTAAATTAAATTATTTGCCTCGTTGATTAAAAAATTTAGTCTCACAATTTTAATCGCGAAATGAAAATATGACATAAATCGTAATCATTTTACATTATTTTATCTGTATATACATTATCTATATTATAAATTATACGATTATGGTGCTTCAACATCATAAAATAGAATATTATTAAATAGTTTTAATGCTTACGTTGGCCATGCATCAATACATTATTGTAAAATTCACAAATTTCTTTTTCGCTCTTGTGAAAAATTCTCGTGATCGAGAAATCATAATAATTCATATTGGGAAGATTACACTATACAGACAACCTGAAGATATTCAATAAACCATACGAACTATTAAAGAACTCATCATTATTTTAATTGAATTTTATTACATTTCTCTCAAGGGACAAACATTAATTGAATATATTGAAAATTCTTACTTAAATTGTCAATTAAATTGTTCAAATTAATACAAAAACTGTATTAAAATTTAATTTCTATATAAAATATATTTTTAATTTGCTAACCGTATTTTATGTATATTTTCTTGTTATAATTAAAAAATATATATATTTATTTTAATGATACATAATAAAATTAAAGAAAAAAATTAAAATCGTCATAGAAAAAATATTGCTAGTTATGAAAATACATTAAAAGTAACAAAATTATAGGAATAATAATTATTTTTCATAATGCTGTAATAAAAAATTTTGCATTTATAATAATATATACATTATGAATGTTCTTGTTATACCGAAAACGAACACCGGCCAAATCAGTCTCGATTTATGATCATAACTTAGCGAGTTTTCGATTTGTCTCCAAAACAATCGAAAAACTTGCTACTTTTTGTTTATAAGCATAATCGACATCGTGAAAAGCAATCATTTATATCATCTCGACTTCAGCGACTTTCTCGCTCGAAACTCTTCATGACTACCAATAGCTTTCCTTCGATCGAGCTCGGAATAGCATGCTTTTAATTTTTCTCAACGGACTAATTATCGTTTATCCTGCTTTCCCATTCTAAGCAAAAATGGAGAAAAACTAACAAGACACTACAAAACTAAACACCAAAAAACGAAAAAAAGAACACGCGCGCGCGCGCGCGCATACGCACACACAGAGAATAAATCAAAAGCAAAAACGTCGGGCAGGTAAGCGAGAAGACGAAGCTCCTTTCGAGGGAGTCCCACTGGCTTCGGGAGACGCCCTTCTTCTGGCTGGATCCGCTCAACTGGAACGCATCCTCGGAGGCAGCGCCCCACCTAGAGCGGCTGCCCTGCCAAGGGGACATCGTCGTGCTCCCGGCGAACTCGAGGATCTTCAGCATACGATTGCCGACGACTCGGGACGTGGAGGTAGCCGGCGTCAGGCTCGCCGACGACAACGAGACTATCGCCGAATGGGAATGGAGCTCCATGGCCGAGCGATCCGAGTTCGTCGGGCCTCGATTGAGCGTCAAGTAAGCGATTAAAGAGCATTATTTTCACGCATCGGTACCCCCATCAATTTCAACTAACACGTGTTTCTCTCTAGTCAACTGAAATTGTTGTTGGTTCGAAAGTGGCGTTGAGCGTTAGTTTTAAAGTTTTCGTTGGTAGGCTTTTAAATGGGCGTGAACGGTTGCGTGAGGAGGAGAGGAGAACCGACAGCGATTTAGCGAAAGACAATAACAGGTTTCAAGTGAAAGTATATTCAACTGATGACAAATGCGACGACTTTATGCTCACTTTTAAACTCACCTTTGCCCGTTCAACAGTATTATGTTGTTAAAATCGATGGAAGGTACTGTTAATCCACATATTTACTTTCGCCTATGTTCGCGAATTTTTATGCTATGCTCAAGTGTTTTCGCACTATATTTTCATGAAATTGTAGCGTTATTATTTGAATATTTGGCTCGTAATACTATTCCCATTCTAGTGGTATAGTAGATCTTCAACTTATAATTATTCCATTGTCTTGCGTAATAGATACTTAATCAAACTCGTGCTCGTGTAAATTGTAAATTGAAGAAGAATAAAAAAAAAATACAATACGCACGCAAACGCACACAAAATTTCGCGTTAAAGTAATTTTAATTTCGTGATTATTTTACGTTAATAATAAATTTTTACTATTAAAATTATAAAAGGCAATTTATACGTATATCGATTTTTAATTTAATTTAATTTAATTAAAAGACAAATTACTCATATTTATTTGTGAGAGACATTGATTAATAAATAAACGAACATTTAAATCAACATCGAGATGATTTAAATCTAAAAATTTTATGGTTTGAAACGGAGAAATCATCTTATTAGAATAATTATTTTTCATATTGTGCGATATAAGTTCTAAATATCGGTAGATAACATACGAATTGATATGACTCGAATGACTGATTAAACGAATAAAGTTGCACTTAACACAGAACGCAAATATTATCGATTCCCCTATATGTAGAAATTTTTAATTTGCCGGATATTTCGAAAGTGCATATTAATGGCATTTTTTTAAATTTTTTAAATGTATTAAAAATCAAATGCTAATGTTGTGCATTAACTTGTAAATTGTTTGAAAATGAAAACAAACAAAAAAAAAAAAAAAAAAAAAAAAAAAAAAAAAAAAGAAGAAATGAAGAAAATAGATGAGAAAAGCTAAATAATAAATAAAACTCCAAACACTTTATAATAAGAGTCGCGTCAATTTATTGTTTTTTCTCTGAAATATCTCCCTGCTTTTTAATATTTTAAAAAACAAAGTGTCAACGCTGTCTTGCATTGAATAGATATAACTCATTACTTGAATGTGAAAATTGCCAGTGCCAAGAAGGAGACTTATCTGCATATGCTGAAGAAATATGTAGCATTCAGCGAGCGAGATGCGGCCCCCCCACTTGTGAATATCCCTTGAAGGTAACTTGTATTACATAAAATAAATTATACCGGAACATAATTTACAGGATCGTGACAAATTGATTTGAAAATATCTTATCAAGCGGCTAATTTTCACTGCATACTCTGCACGAAGCTATTATGAAAAGAAAATCTAAAAAGAAATAAGAAACCAACGTTCTAAGGTCATAGACACGCGTTATTGCAATTTTCAACAAAATTCTCAAGATTCTTAAAAAGTTCATTTTGCTTTGCCGTTGTTCAAAAACATGGCGTTATTTATTCAGGTAGAGGGTCATTGCTGCTATTATTGTGGCGGCAGAATTCGTCTCTCCAGAAAAACTCTCTTAACCACCATCCAGAGAGTGGTTAAAAAGGCTTTAAAAGGATATGAAGATACACTTTTTTGGCATTCGAGGCTAACGTGGGATGGCAATAACGAAATTCTCATCACGGAGAAAGGTGCTTACGAGGGTACCAACGTTATAATTGCCACTACACACGTCGAGTCCAGTTTAAAAGGTGACGTTACTCGCCAATGAAAGAAAACCAGATTATTTAGCCACTTTCTGCCCGGCATCTCGATCTTTACTTATTATTAAAATCCAACGACATTTATACTTCATCCTTCTCTTCGTCCATCCTTCCCTTACTTACCGACACTTCGTTTTTCAAACATGGCTTAATTTCTAATTACAGTTAAACCTTTTAACGTTAAAGCCGAAATATTAGTTTTGAATTAACTTCATGTGCGAGCCAATCTATTAAAGCCTCTCGGCCCGTTCCGCTAAAGTGTTTTCGACTTCTTTAAGCGTATTCCACAGCTTCTAGGAACTTACGACCACGGCACTATATTGTAGGATCGCAGAATCCGCACCTGCGGCCATGAATAACCAGCTGATTTATTTTACGTCCAGAGGAAGAAGTCGAGGTACTCTATAGCGAGACATCGGGTGGGCCGCTATACGATTATCGACTCGCGGTCGCCCTGGGCCCATTCCTCGGCGGCCTCCTGGTCCTCCTCGTCCTTCTCCTCTTACTCTGCCCGCTATTTGGCTACTCCTGTACTCAGTAAGTACGACCTTGATAAGTTCGACGCGGTCGAGTGTTATGCGTTGTCTTGCTGTTTGTATAAACAATATTCTCATGCCATCTACTGCCGTGTCACTAAATGGCAAACACTTCTCTTTAATCTTTTTTTTTTCTTCGAATTTCACTCATAGCTACAAAAAAAAATCTAATGCATCTTCTATTTCGATATTCAGACCTTCGAAGCTGTAAATTTACTTTTTAAAAATTCTTAAAAACAAAACTTAAGCTTTGTTAATGCTCATGGCACTCTGTTTCATTGTTAATCAATATTACATCAATTACATTATCATTACTTTCTTCGGCATTTCTTACATATTGAAACTACGGCTTAAAGAACTCAAAGACTATATTTCGCCATAAAACAATTGACACTTGTATAAATTATTTAATAATTTTATAATGCTGTTTGTATAATCAGAATTTATATTACAGTTGGTATTATTTACAGTGCTGTAAATTTTACATATTACGGGACACTGGACATTTAATATTCCAATTTGTTCACTATATAACATTTATAACATGCAACTCTCTTAAAAACTATTCGCACCTGCGTTAGCTAATAAACTAATAAATTATGTCTTTAATAATATCGTCTGACTTCTAATTCCCAACAGATTGACAATTTTCATAAACAATGAACACAAGCGTACACTACATAAAATAATAAGTCTATAAATCCTTAGTAATACTGAAAAACTATTCAACATCAACAAGTTAGTCGTATTTTATTGTATGATTATATTGCATTATAATGTTACTAGCATTTAGCATATATTTGTCAATATTATACACTTCAACTATACTTAAATCTTGTTATAACACGTATAAGCTAATAATATTTATATATTTTGACATTGAAATTCTCTTTTTATTACATATAAATTGTGTTTAGATAAACACTGTAGATCGTTTAATTTCATTACAACATTTATTTATATTTGAATATAACGATTCACTGTATTGTTTTCTTTATAATTTTTTTTTTTTTTTTTTTTTTTTTTTTTTTTGTAAAATGATAAATTTAAAGTTAACATATGTTTGCTTATATTTATAAAAATTTAATTATAATCTAATCAAGCATTACAAAAAATTCGATGGTAGTTGGTAGTTCTATTATTTCAAAATCTATTTCTTACTTTTATAACTTTATTAACAACTTTATTAACTCTATAATTCATATTCATTCGACATGGAATGTAAATTTACTATACAAGAAAGACGAATTGTGCCGAATACGAAAGAAAAATGTATAATCATCGATACTGCTATAGAAAATAGCGATTAAAAGCCAAGTTATTAAGATTATTGCTTAATTGCGCGTTCATCATACAGTTTATTGTATGATGAAGTACATTTAGTTCTCGAAAGCCAAGAAATTCTTTTATAAAAAGAAAGAAAAGATTCTAAGAAATTCAAGAATTTCACTAGATTTACCCTACACCGACAAAATGCCGCAAAATGAATAATTCTTATAAAAATTCATATATTGAAAAATTAAATTCGATAATATAAACAAAATTCTTTAAAATTATACTTAAAAAATAATATCATGAATTAGCATACATATTAAATGTTAAATTTATTTCATTTACTTAAATTTCGAATCATCTATCACCTTTTATAATTACAAAATCAAAAGCTTTTATTTGTCTCTAAATATATTCATGAGTTTGTCAATAAATTAAATTTATGTTTGAAAAATCGATATAAATCAACATTGCGTTATGTACTCATGAGTAAAAAAGGAATATATTGATTAATAAAATAAATAATATATTGACTAATAAATAAAATATTAATCAATGCAAATTCAGACTAATTCTAATAATTTATGCATTTGATTTTCATAATAATTGTAAAAAGAAATTTGTTAAAATTTCTCTTCATAATATCGAGTATAGTTAGTAAATATCTTACATACCTTCATTATTTGAATATTGTAATATTATATATAGAAGTTTAAAAATTAAAAACTTTATCAATAAAATAGTTCATGGACGTGAAATATCTGAAATGTTTAACATACAAAATTTAATTTCTCGTAATTAATTACATTTTTAAAACGATGATTTTAACTTCCTAGCTTATTGTCGATTTAATAATATTCATACTAAGCATTATGGATAGAAAAATAATATTAAAATGATTTTTTTTTTCTATGTATAAAAGAATTTCCAGCATACTATACAACTATTTAATAGAGTCTATATCATAATTCTTAGTATATACAGTTCAATAAATGTTTATGGTACTTGACTTAAGAGCAACGAAAATAATATTTTGACTGGATGCTTTCAATATCTCTTACCCTCTATTCATGGCATTTCATGTGAAATTAAATAATTCGTTTCTTCGTAAGAAGCTTAAAGTCGCGTAATAAATACACACGATTTTAGACATTCCGTTTTATTATTTTTTTTCTTTAACTATTTATTTATATTAGACCACAGAAACACGAGATAAATATTCATGTAATAGAATGAATAATTTTGTTATTATTTTAAATATTAAGCTAAGTAATAAATAAAACTATTTTACAACAGTATATTGACTAATCATTGTTTTAAAATTTCAATAATCTGATAAAATAAATAATTATAGAAATCTTGATTAACTGGTGATATCTTATACATTATTTATTTTTTAAATTCAGATTTGCGTAAATATCATATAAAAAGTGATAAATTTCTTTATACAAAATAAGAATGTTTGAATTGGCTATTAGTTTTTGTAAAATTATTTCTAATGAATAATTTCCATTTACATATCACACAAGTGATATTAAACAAAATACTTTGTTATTATAAAAAATAATCAATCTATTATTATTGAAACAACATATTTCTCAACGTATTCGATTATAATTGATTAAAATTTTAAAAAAGTAACTTATATAGCAATCAAATAAAAACTAAAGTAATTACGCAAAAATTTAATATATTAAAATTTCATGTTTAACTAATATAATTTCAGGTTATCATAAAAATAGTTAGATTTTCTTCAATTTAGCATTTGTTATTTTAACGGATTATTGTATTTTTTGTAAAATATACGTTCAAAAACGAAAATCCATTAATGTCCTGTGCTATTAAATATATTTAAAAAATGCGTTCCTAGATACATATGAATTTCAAAATTTTTCAGTAATTTTTACATCTGCCTTTCCTAAAAAATACCTTTCAGACTAACAAAAACTGAAATATTAAAAATGAAAGTTTTTATCTTAACGTAGAAGGTCAGCATACAAACAGCATATCAAATTTTCTCATGCAGCAAACAATTTTCACAAAACTTTAATAAAATAAACAATGTTTCGACATTACATTCCCATAACAATTAATGCTTTTTCGATATTTCTATATTCAGTCATATTTATCATTTTTCTAAATTAATGTAATTGTTACACAGCCACGTTAATGTGTATGTTTAGATCAATATGAATAATATAAATGAAATTTACGGGAATTGATTAACGCATTCGACCGGTTTACATAGTAACAAACCTATAACAGTCACCTATACATGGATTTGTTATTTATAGTATAAATATTAATATTTTCTCATGCTTTACAAATTTGCCTCTGGTTATGTTCATACGCGTCTTGTTACACTCGAGTTCACGAATGGCACTCCCGCGATTTTAATTAGTCGAACTCTCTTGGTGCGAACGAGCTCTATGCTCTCAACTATGCATTATTTCATTCCAGGCATCTTACTCTCTTAAACTCATTTTCTTGTCGCGCTAATAAGTGCGTTCTTTCTCTCTCTTTCCTCTACTCGTCAACTTTTCTTTGTACAATTTAAAGTGTTGAAATGTTTATTTGTTACAAAAATTATTTTAATCCATAATAATTTTATGATATATATGCTTTTGTTTCGACGATAAACTTCAATTTTCTTTTAAATCAATGGATGTTTTATAAATTCATTATATTATGACAAACAATAATAAAATTATAATTAAAAAATTAGAATTAAATAATTTAAGATTTAATTTCTCGCGTACTATTTACTTATGACTGTTTTATATTTACTTATTGTTTCATTAGTTAATTATTATTTATGGAACATATAATACTATTTCGAAACTACTCAATTCTGTCAAGTAATTTGTAAGAAGAATTCTACGAAATCAAAAAATCAGCTCAAAAATATATTTTTCCAGAATTTTGGAGGCTTGCCAAGAAGTTGCAGCTACAATTTTCATGGACAAACGTGTGAACGATAGAAACAAGAAATCTTTTGCTTTTGCTAGATTCGAAAACGTATCGGAAGGAGCAATACAGTTAGCCGAAGAGGAAGAAACGCATCCACAATCTATTACTGCTGAAAGATTCGAAAATCCCCTCTACAGATCGAAAGAAAAATTAAAAAGTCAGAATACTCAAGAGAAAATAATAAATCCTGAAGAGCCAATAAGTTTGATTGAACTTCAAAAAGCTGTGGCTGAGCCAAGTAAAACAGACGAAATTGAAATGGATATTGAAAATTTATAATAAATATGCCATTAATTTGAAATTATAAAAAATAAAGATTAGAGTTTAGAATTTAGAAAATGGTATCCATATGAAATTCAAATAATTATTTTATCATTTTATGCTGTAAAATATAAATCTGTAATATTCTTTTCGTACGGTAGTATATTTCAAAATTGCATTTTAATTATAACATTAAATGTTAATAAGTAAGTACTAAACGAAAACCAAAGTTGTACTAATTATAAAGCAACTAGTAAATTTTTTAAGTAACTACATGCAAATTCGAATACGCACTTATCTTTCTTAATATTTCACAAACTTTTCAAAATCAATTGATTTATAACATTACTTAATTATTATAAATATTTCATTTGTAAGTATCATTGTAACAAAAAAAGGAAAAAAATCATAATTACCTAAATTATACAAAAATAATTTATAATAAATACATTATCTTAATTCATTTTTAATATAATTCATAAAATAATTTCTCTATCTGCACTTTATATAAAAATATAAACTTATAGTAGATTTATGAAGTAAATTATAAAAACAATAGCAATGTTAACAAATTTCAGTGTTGCTTTTCGTAAGAAATGCACTGTTTGAAACTATCATAAAAACCATTCGTTATAATCATTTTAATTTGATTAATTCTCATAATTAAAAACAAACTTAGATATATTTGATCTCGATCGTCGTTCCAGGCATTTAAAAAATACCTCGTTTTACATTTATCAAGATTTCAATAAAAATACAATCCAAGGTCTTACATTTTACTCGTTACGTAGAAGATAACTAGTTATCGTATGACTTGAGTCAAGACGGAATAGACTCCGCCTAAACTGGATGAAGACCTTAATCTCTTGTCAGACGAAGCAAATGATAAACAATTAAGAAAAATCTTGTTTTGATTACTTAAGTACTTACCGACTTGTAGTCAATTACTCCCCCTCAATTCGTCAATTGCTGTCCAAGATACCTATATTCTCTACAAATACCCTATATCTATCTTATTGTGCGTAATACGAAAAATAATGACTATTACTTTAAAAAAAATATATATATATTATAATAAAATTAAGTTCAAGACTACTAAGCTATCTTTAATATTATTAATACAGATTTTCAATTACCTCGAAAAACATAAGATTTGGATAAAACGGAAAAAAAAGAATTCATTTATAAAATTTATAATGCATAATATTTTATCAAGTTCGTAACGTTTTTTTGACTCAATTTTTAATTATTATTTATTAAACGATTATTTTATATTAGCTCATATTAGTATCCTTATGAATAAAATTCATAAATATTCATAAATCTAAAATAATTGGGAAAAATAAAGAAATAATATTATTCCATTATCAATTTTATTATTTTTTTTTTTTTTACTTTTTTTAAAACTTTTTTTATTATTATCAGACAACACCCAGTCAATCTATTCAGTGAGGTAAATATGCGAAAAATAGTAATATAATAACGTGACATTCATTTATTCGCATTTACATACATCAATAAAATATCATTTCTGAACATATAAAACTTCTTTGATATAATCGTATTTTTTTAATATTTTTATCACCCTCATATACATCTTAATATGCTTTCTCTCCATTTCCTTTCACACTCTTACTATATATAAATAAGATATTAACATTTAAACGATCATCTAAGTGCTGCACCATGCACACGCGCCTCGATAAAATTGAATGCAAAGTTTTACAACAAGAAACACGAAATAACATGATTGTAAATCTGTCGCAAATGTTGATGATAGCCATTTGTATATCTGTCTGAATATGTGCGTGTGCGAGCGTGTGTGTATGTGTTTATATATCTATCTATATATATATATATATATATATATATATATATATATATATACATATACGTGTTGATGATGTGTTTGCGCGCGCGTGTGTCTGTGGGTGTAGCTATGGGTGTACGCATCTATGCGCGCACGCACGCACACACGCACACACACACACATATACATATATAATTTTTATACTTTCATAAAATATACAAGTGCTATATTGTAACATGTATATAAAGTGAAATATATTATATCATATATATGCATACGTACATATTCATGCACATATGGGCGCATATATACACATATATAAAATATATCTTTAAAATACGACGCAAATATAATTTTATAAAAACTCGTTATAAAATATATGATATTATCTTTATTTATTTCGTCTTATTCTCCAAAAAACAAACAACAAAATAAGTCTTTATAAATGTATGCTATTAGCATTAACGCTAGTTAAAACAAAGCAGACTATTCGAATATGTGTCAAGTCATCATTGTAGAATGAATTTATATAGAATAATATAGATATCGTACCGAATGAATAATTATTATAACCTCTTTTTCCTAGTGTGTGAACAAACAAACATGCATTCCGTTAAAAGTATTAAACATTCTGTAATATATATTTATGTGCATATCTTGGTATGCATTTTATTATAAGGAGATCTTTGAAGCAATTAAAATTATTGGTTCTAATATTTGAAAACGTTTGAAAATATATCTTTTAATTGTGCCTGTATTATGTTTAATTTGAAAGAAGTAAAAGTGAAAAATGAATGATGATAATGCAAATGAAGTAAACAATTATGATAACTCACACTCAGTTGCACGTCTCCCGATGATTTGGCAACAGTCCATAATAAAAATCATGAACACTCGAGCAATCGCGTAAAAGTAAGCCATGATTAAAAAAAAAAAAAATGTTTCAGCTTTTTTATTCGTTGCCTTAAACAAAACTCTATATACATTATCTGTAGATTAAAATTTTTTATATAGAACGAAGTCCATCTGCTAAAAAGGCTAAAAAATAAACTTGCCCTTCGTGTAACACTAAATCAACAATTTAATTAGCATATTTTACGAAATTCGTGTGCTTAAATCTTTTTTATTTTATTTATTTTGAATTTTCTATCACACGTTTCGCAATCTATCCTATATAACTCTATAAATGGTAATGTAAACTTTTAGATAAAATATTTTAGATCCCTATTCTTTCCTTTAAGAGCTTCAGAATTACATATAGAAGCCCAAAAATGAAAACATTGGCTCTGGTAAAAAAGCCTCAGTTCGTATACTATGAAAAATATCGATGCAAACACGTGCTGCTTGTAGACAAAGGAGCACAATGCCATTTTCGCTATTTATGCTAAAATTAATCAAAATAATTCTAAACGTAACATTTTTAGATATCGCTAAAGAATGTTTATAACTCGACTTGCTTAGTCAAAGCGTTTTTCAGGACATAATTTTAGCGCTTTTCGTTCTGACATGAAGCACGTTAGTCTCAAGTTTACCAAGTTTCTCAAGTTTTATAAGCAAACTTGGAGAGAAATACATTTAGGAAGACTTTCTCTGGATAATTGCCTGAAGACGTTGTAATTCCTTCAGCAGCTGACGATTAGTAGTTTCCAAAGTTGAAACCTTTTCTCTGTAGGACGAATTTTCATTCGTTAAGAGTGTAACTCGCCTTTCGAGACCATCCATGTACTCCTTCTTTTTTCGACGCGACTCTTGAGCTGATATCTAGAAAACATAATAATAAATTAGAACAATATTGTCTAGAAAGTAAACGTATAGATGAAAAAAGGAAGAAAAAAAGAAGAAAAAATCTCTCTCTCTCTCTCTCACTCTCTCTCTCTCACTCTCTCAATCTCACTCTCACTCTCACTCACACTCACACTCTCACTCTCACTCTCACTCTACGTAATCAAACAAACTTTTTATTTATACTCAAATTGCAAGATATACTTAAGTGTTCATACAATATTCAAAATGTTAATTTTTAAACTATACTATTTTATCATATATTTCATTGAATTTTAGCATGTAAATTAAAAGAATCAATTACTCGCGAATAATATGGTTTAGTAAGCAAGTAGTCGATATGATATAATATGATATAATATTCAAATATTAACACGTACCATTTAAATACAATATTGCATTATACAGTAAATGTCGTTAATAATGATTTTTAAATTATCGAAAAGTTATTTGACAAAATAGATTACATCGCTCTGTTTCAATAAGCTTTATACGCTTTACTCACCTTATTCTTTATTTTCCTGCGCACTTTTTTCAGTGATTTTTCCTCTTGCTTAGTGAGAGGCAATTTTGTAGGTACGGGATAACCCTCGGCAATCAAAGTCCTTTTTTCCTCTTCAGTCAGTACGAGAATGCCCGTAGAACCTTTCTGTTATAAAGAACATAGTAATGCATATTTTAATAATAAAACTACAAAATGACAAAAATTCATTTCACATGGAGAAGTAAAAACTATTTTGTCTATTATTGTCAAGCATTTGTATATTTGTATGAAGTATCTAATAAGTTTATACGCCATTAAGTTTCTAATTGTTTTCTCTTTTCGAAAATTCATATCGTGACGTATAAACACGTATAATTTGCAATTGTAGAATCTAATAAATAACTGCTATGATCGGCGATTGATACTAAGTAGCGTTTCATTTTGTTAAAAATTACAATAATAATGGCCGATATTTTATATTCTTAATAAATCCACCAACATAATTTATTCAAAATCAAAGCAATTAATAACTCATTACCGTTCTCCAAATAATCTACATGACATAGCAATCGATAAAACTATAAGCTCGTGCAATGTAAATGTAATGTGGTGGCAGAAAATTTTGTTTAAAAGATTGTAATCAAATTGTAATCCAATTGGAATCCTAAGGCATAGTATTGGGTTTCTCGTCGCCCCTCTCCAATCCAAACTCCACCTTAGCGTACAAATCCTCCATATATGTCCTCAAAAAGTCGAGCGACGTGAAGTATCGATTGCCAAGGAGAAAAAAAGTCGTGGAATGTTCGAAGAAGGATTTTCGCGGCCGAGAGGGGGGCACGGAGAGTAAAAGCACTTACCGGTTGACAAGAGATTAGGGGCGTGTGTATGGGCTGGCGTGTACTAGTCCCGTGCTGACCGATAGCCCCGTTCGTCGTGACGTATAGCCTCGGCTGGAGGAAGCCCCGTAGGCTCTGCACGTGGACGGAACCATGGGAGTCCCTGCGCTCGGGGGAGCAAGAGGCCGAGACGGTGCCCTCGCTGTCGGAACTCGCGCTGCTCGGCGGTGTGGGTGGCAGATCCTGGTTGGACGTCTGGTCGATCGCGTCGTCCTCACAAGGCAGCTCCAACGTCTCAACTTTGATTTCCTAAAGCAGGCGAGTGAAAGCCAAGATTTTATTTAAGCAAAAGCAAGTCATGTATATGAGCTCGGACTGTATGCTCGAACTGTGCTCTAGTCTACCCACCCTGTGCGCCTCTCTCTCTCTCTCTCTCTCTCTCTCTCGCACTTGTAACGTTTGATTAATCGTTGCGTTAGTTTTTGCGATAGTTGTAAAAAACAAAAACAAAAAACAACAAAGCGCTATTTATCCGCGCCCACGTAAACTTAAATAACTCGATTTTTCGCTGGAATTTTTTATACTCGCAGGTGCCGAATCAAAGATAATTAGATACTCGTCTCTCGACTTTACTATAATTATTGCAAAATACAATGAATTTTTCACCTATGCTTGGGGGGGGGGGGAAGATGTAAAGTGTATCTATAAATAAATAGTAAATAAATAGTAAATAAATAGTAAATATCTAGTAAACATCTAGTAAACATCAAAATATCTTAATCTACCAATTATTATTATACTATGGTATGTTAATAGAAATTTTCATAATATATTTTATATAATATTATATATTAAAATCTATCGGAAATCATGTAATATTTAAAATTTATCTAAAACGCAATAAAAGTATTAACAAATTTTACAATATGTATGTCGTTAGATAAAGCATATGATACCTGATGCATATCTTCGTCGTCATCTTCACTATCGCTTGTTTGCGAGGAAAATCCAGTCAGGTGAAGATTATGAGGTGAAATAGCAACAGTACTTTTATCCTCTAAGAGGATGGTGGCATCTGATGTGCAAGGACTACATGGAGCACTAAGTGGTTCCCCTTTGATGATTGTACATTGATTTGAAATATTGTCGCAAAGATGGCGTGGCCTTGTTAATTCAATGCCGTTTGATACTGATGAGAAAGGTTCTGGCGATGATCTCGAGGAATCCCTTCCTGACGCTGTATTCATGGAAATTGCCGGGAAACATTCTTCTTCCATGTCCGTTACTATAAAAACATCGATGAACCATTGAGATTTATAAATAATTGTTATCTATAAATAATATTTATATTAATTACATTGACATTTCGTTACGTATATTAAAAAAATTGTATTTAACGAAACGTCGATAGAATATATACGATAAAAAATTTAAGAGTATTTTTTAGGAAAACTCAAATGGAAAGAAATTGTTATAAACTTATAAGATATTTAGATTTCACTGTTATTACATTAAAATAGAATAGAATCAAAATTAAAGTCATAATTATGCTTGAAAACTAATTTTTTATTTTTTAACAATAAAAATTACGGCTTCAAGGGCAAACGTTGATTTGCATGTAATAGCAATTAACAATGTATATATAATAAAATTATCTTCCAACTTACAATTAAATTATTTTCATTCGACATTATTTCAAGTAAATATTTCCTACTATTTTATCAGATTGCGAACAATACATTTCATTACATGTGGTACAAAATTGTCATATTTACTTAAATTTATGCCGGATTTCATTAATAATTGATAATCTGTATAAATTCAGAACCTCATCCTAAATAAAATATAAGTTTTAATGCGTATATGTAGTTTTTTATTATACTGTTATTTTTAATAAACATATATATTTTTACTAAAATTAATAAAATTTAAATATTCATTAAACTTTTTTTTTCAACGTATTGATTAGAATATATAAATTTAAATACTGTAAAAAAATTACAAACTTAAATAGATATTCTAAATCATAGTGTTATTATTATTATTATTATTAATATTATTATTATTATTATTATTATTATTATTATTATTATTATTATTATTTGTTATTTTTATTATTATCGTTAATATTACTGAATTATTAAAAGAAAGTCAAGAATAGTATGTAGAATAATGCCCATTTATGTGCCTCATTTTCGGTATCCAACAGTATGCTTTAACAATTTGATCACATTTTTTTTATCAAAGCTTTAACTTTAAAAAGAAAAAAAAATACTTAACAGTGCCCATATATGAATTTTTCATTTAGGAAAAATGATGTTATCGCAATGTTTATTAAAAAAAAATGAATAAATTTCTGTTTAATCACTAAAATAGCATTACGCAAGGAAGTTCTTTACGTCTTTTACACCAACACTTTCTTAAACTATTTCATAAACTTCTTTTAATAAATGTTTATCATTTAATAACTACACCTATCTAAATAGAGCTAATATAGTATTTACATAAAAAAACAGATACATTTCTCAAAGTTTTGAGAACTCGTAATATTTTTATTAATATTAGCTTTCGTGTATTCAAAACATTCAAAGTAAAATTGTATCAAACGTGTGCTAAGTATTTCTCTCTCTCTCTCTCTCTCTCTCTCTCTCTCACTTTTTTGTTTAAAACTGTATAAATTCATGTTTTTTAATAACTAATTTATAAATATACAAATATATTAATATTATTTAAGGGATTAAAAATCAATTAAGTAAATAAAATTTAAATATAAGAACTTATAACTAATCAAATACGTATTAAAGGTGATAATGTAAAGGTGATATTTCTGATATAATTAATTGGAATGTCAAGTGTGATATTAAATTTCTTATCTATATCTTTTCAAGAAAAGTATTTTAAAAAACGCAAAATACGAAAACTTCTTACATATTTTTGAATTTTAATAGAGTAACGTCCATGAATTCCTGTATTCAGTAAGGTTTGTGCTGACACGAATGAAAAAATTCTTAAGAAAGTAGTGTTGTGTGTGAAGTGTCGAATAATATAAAAAAAAAAAAAAAAAATTGTAATTTAACTCTTTTCTTCTTGTATGATCTTAGCTAGACCAAATTTTTCAATATTATCTTATTCGTTTGAAAATTAATTATTATAATATTATATATACATTTCAAATAATCATCAACCTTCTCTTATTGCTTTCTGATAAGCAATATATATTAAATTTACCATTATTTTACAATTTAAGTAATAATTGTTAATATTTTATAACTATTGTAAATAATTTTAATTTCTTTTTAATCAAGTTAATGTAATAAACGCCTTGCGAGAATATTCAAGGATACACATTCATAACATTATTAAATAAATAAATAATATTATAATGAAAATTTCTGTTTTTATTATAAAATACGAATGCAGGAGTAATTTTAAATTAAACCTAATCCAATTTATGTGTAATTTTAATAAGCCTTTAAAGATGTTATAAACCAAGATCGATTGAATTATCAACTTTCTCGATAAATAATAATTTTTACAGAATTATTTAAAAAATGCTAAATGGAAAAATCGACGTACAGCACAAGTTTTGTTAATAATTTAATTTTTATTCGTTAAAGTATGTATTACCCAACTACATTATAATAACAGAAAATTTTTGTTTACTTATTATGATTATAATGCTTGGTGAACCGTAAAAATACAGATATCTTAAATATATAAAAACGAATAAATTTGGTATATTAAAAATTTAATATTTTTGTAAATGTATCTAATTTTATAGAAAGATTTGTCTAATGCTGTTCATATTTAACGAGGGATCATGTTAGTAAAAAATATTAAAAATATATAGCTATGCATATCATCAAAATTTATAAATTTTACAGATTGTATTAAGATCTGAGTCAATAGCTATAAAAATATCATATCTTTACTATCTTAAATAGATTAGTATAATTCATCTTTATAGAAAAAAAAAAAAATTCAATTCTTTGTTCTATAAAAGAACTTCTTTATAAGTAATTTCGACAATGCAAATATAATAGCTGTCTCAGTTTATTGAAAAAATATATAAATATATATTCATCAACTATTAATGCAAAAAATATTTTTCAATGTACGTAGGTTAATAAAATTGGTTAAACTGCGGCGAAAATATAAAAATTCGTATACACATACGTTCAAGTAATAATGTAATATCTTTTCAAACAATTTAAAAAATATTTTTTATGATGTCATTCGTAAAAGTGCTTTTTCATCACGATTTTATTTGATAAATAATAATAATAATAATAAATATTATAATAATAGAATATATTTTTATTTAAAATCTACGATAAGTTAAAATAAAGATGTTTTCATAACAATTGATAGACGAAAGACTCCAAACATTCATCAATTTTGTTTAATTTTAAATAGTTGGCACATTAAATATTTATGACGTCTATCGCTCTCTAAAATATGATTTTTTTTTTTCAATACTTTTATAACTGTTCATGCGTTTATTTTTTCTAAAAACTGATAAATAAACGATAATTTTTTCAAACTATCAACGCAATTTAATATATTACGATGAAAGTAAATTACTTGTTATATTCGTTTCGTGTTAAATATTAAGAAATTTAAATTAAAAACCAAATCATAACTTATATATTAAATTACGTTTGACAAATTTTCAATTCATTTTTTTTTTTTTTTTTTTTTAAATAGCTCTGAATTACGAGTCGTTCGAAGGTTTAAGAAAAAAGTTACATTTTTGTTTAAATCATTTTAGAGTATTCTTCTACAAAATGGGAACTTAACATTTGATAAATTTCATCTGAAATACAATATTTTATCACGTTAAGAAAGAAGCAAACAATAAAAAATTAGGTGTCATCTAAGTAACGATTATGAAGGACGAGCAGGCAGATATTCTATAATAAATGATTAAATTAAATTATACAAAATTTTCAGAAATGGAACCATATTAGATCTGTCACGCAATGGACACACATACATGATATTAAAAGAGAATAAATTTAAATAATGGCCGTAGTTAGACGAAAGGACAGTACCGCTAGTCAAATGTCTAAGAAATATAATTACAACAATTAATGTATTAGAATATTTAATAACATTGGAATTTACGCTTTAATTGCAAAATCATCTTCATTATGAAAATTGATCGGCCTTCATTTGCTTACATACATAAATAAATATGGTTGCGGAGCGAGTGCTACGCTATTTATCCAGAATTATTTGACTCTAAATGACTAATAGATAAGTTTCTGATAAGAATACGCACAATAATCATAATAATAATAAGACAATATGAAACGCTTACGTCTTTTAATATATATATATATATATATATATATACTTTTTTTTTTTTTTTTTTTTTTTTTTAGAAGTATTGAATTAGTGAACAAATAAGATATTAAAATTTTGGCGAATTATCGAGTGCGTTTATAAAAGCAGCTTTGCTCTTTTAACTACGCACATAAAATAAGTAATAAGTAATATGTAATGTTGTAAGAATAGCGATAGAGTGTCGTATACAAACGTGTCTATCCTATTCTCCACAAATACAGCTTCGACCATATGCCTTATATATAAAGAAGGAAGGGGGTTGGGGGGAGGGAGACTTACCGTCCAGTCGGCTGGGCTCGCTCGTGCACACGATCGTCCCGGCGAAGACGCCAGCTACGTCGGTGCAGCTGACCTGGTGTCGATGCGCCTGCTGCTGCACCCTGAGGCCGCTCGGAGGCGCGACCCCGCCCACGGGACCGCAGGAAGGTGGCGGCGGGCTACAAGCCAGGAGACTATAGCTGTGCTCGGACTTGATGGGCTTTGGTCCCCCGAGGGCGGCGTCGGTCATAAGCCGATCGCGCAGCACAACGCCGAACGACGTCTGCCTGCAATCGCGCAGGCTGACCCCACCGCCGACTCCCCAATCGTCCTCCTTCGTCCCGCAGCTCATCAGGACGTCCTGACCCAGGCTCTGTAATCACCCAGAAATACGTCACTCGAAGCCATGACACGGGATCGAGGTTGTGCGTGCGAGCGCGAGCACGAGTGTGAGTACACGAGTGCGAGCGCGCAATAACGGGACACGGCTCTTTGAAATGACACGAATTGAAATCGCCGCTAAAGGAAATATATAATTAGCCTTGCTTCATTAGCAACGATTGATCTTATTACACGATGTGCTCCCCCCCCCTCCCCCCACGCCGAATGATTATTAACAAATTGAATTAATTGATCGTTCGAGGCAGTTTCCGAATTACCGATATTTATTTTCATGTTCGTTAATTAACGTGACCGACGGGCAAGAGAAATATTCTTCTTTGGACGTGCGAATCTATTAACTCGTGAAAATAATGTCTTATAAAAACCTACTGAGAGGCCGAATGAGAGCGCTCTTATTGATAAAAGCTACAATACGCTATTTATTGGTATTATATTTTGCGTGTGTATTATAGCGGGACTCGGCATTTCATGCCTCGAGTCTACTAGCTTCTATTATTTTATTTTAAGCGTCTCTGGCGCGACTAGACGCTAACGTGTTATACGATATTTTTCTCCATTCCGCGCGAGCGAACTTTTAGCACTGGAGTTCCTATCTTCTCCATTAAAAATCACTTTTAATTTATCGATTTTTCAAATTTCATTCCTACTAAACGTTCACTCAACACGAGCACGTTAAATCCGATAATTAGAATGGTGGAATAAAATAATTCGATTACTGTGTATATTTAAATGAAAACATTGTAAAGCTATAATAGAACAACAGTCTCGTATATTCTATTGGAATGAATAGAGTCGTGTTTGACATTTCGTTTATTTCTATTTTCCCGTATCCTGCTATTACATTAATGGTATCAGATATCTATATATTCAGCGCTTTAATGTGCTTAGAAATGCGTTTCAATAATTGAATTTCAAGAGTCACGTAAAAATTAGAAACCTTGCATATTGTACTACCGTCGTTCTCAAAGAGGCCTAAAATCCGAACGATTTAATCCAATTGTTATTTAAAGCCATTCGTTCAAGCGATCGAGTAAATTAAACTATAAAGCAAAATAACTACTCAACGTGCAAAAATTCGAAAGACGAGATAAAAATTCAATTCGAGTGATACGATTCTCCAATATGTATTTATTAGAAAGAAAGAAAGAATGAAAGAGAGAGAGAGAGAGAGAGAGAGAGAGAGAGAGAGAGAGAGAGTGAGTGACAGCAGAGAAAGACAAACGACTGGCGCAACAGATCTGAGAGAATTTTAATGAAAAACGAGTCAAAGCAAAGCAAGTACAGTTGTCAAACCACTATATCCTCTTATTTATAATAGCTCGATTTTCCAGATATCTAAGAAGAAAAGATATATACATTTTTATGCACGCTCGAACATAATATAATGAGATAATAAATGTATCTCATATATCGTGTCAATTGAATGCCCATCCTTTTCCAAAAAATGCTTCACCAGCATTTGCGTCACAATTATCCATAAAGCATAAAAAGTAGCATCTTGTTTCTCGCTCAGCTAGCGATGCAGTTGATCAAAAAAGAAAACAAAAAAAAAAACAAAAAAACAAAACAAAACTGCGCGGTAAGAGTCACGCGCGGCCCCTTCTGGCACCCCAGCACACCCGCCCGACGAGTGCCAAAGGCCCCGGCAAAGCATCGAGCCTGGCTGCGAAACCCTCGCCGCGAGTCGCTAATTGACCTTTAAGCAGACGCTGGCTGACTCGAAGCGGATTCCGGAGCGACGGAGACCGGCGTCGCGGCGGCTAATTCGAAGCCTCCCGAGCAGCAAGAAGCCGCGAAGCCGGGGGGCGTCCGCGGGACTCACCGGCCCCGGGGAACGTCTCGCCTTGGTGCAATCACCTTCTAAATACGCGTGCGGCCGCCTGCCGATGAAATTTCCCAATGACCAGGGTGGGGCTCGAGGCGGCCGTGGCAGCAGCGAGGGGCCGGGGTCAAGGACCTGCGAGCCGCGCGGTCAAGTTGAAGGCCGACTCGCTCGCCCGAGTGCGTATGTGCGCGCGCACTCGGCTGGGAGCGCACGAGGCCCCGTCCGCGGAGGATGAGTCGCGGTCGGTGCGCTTCGAGGGCGTCACCGGGGGAAGTCTCCCGGGCGCCGGCAGTTGGCTCCCTTTCGGGAGCAGCCACCGCCGTTTCGCGCGACGCCTTTGGAGCTGACAACGGAGCGCAACGACGCCAGTATCTCATTCCGCGGCTGCGGTCGTTCCTCGCCCACTATGAAGCAGCAATATTCGCCACTCGTCAAAAACAAAAACAAAAACATAAACAAAATAAAGAAACAAACCCGGGTGAAAATGCTATCATACCGCAGCTCCTTAAAAACAGTGCCCAAGGGTCACGACGCGCTCTAACGATGCTAAGGATGCCGGCTGAGCGCGGTGGGGCGAGGATCGAGTGTTTTCTTTTTCTCTTTTTTTTCTTTCTCGTTTCTCTAACAAAGTGAAAGTTAATAACACGGATGGATCTGGAGCAGAGATTAACGCTCGCATTGGATTATTCAGGCCCGCCCGCAATAAGCGCCCATTCGAATTAAAGTTACTAATTCCTGCGACCGCGCGCTTATCTACGGCGGACATATTAAAATGACAATTGCGGTGTTGCGTTTGAGTGGAAATTCGCAAATTAAGCTCGGTCAGCCTTGCGAAATTCGCTCCCTCCTCTCCCTCCCGGAGGAAATTATCACAGTGGTCGGCATTTTTAATATCCCACGTGTGATGGGTAAGCTTATAATGTTTCGAGTAAGGCCTAACGACGGACGCCTGGCCCAAAGAGTTCAGCCGAAGGCAGGAGGACTCCTATGATTAATATTCTCCGTGTTTTCATGGAGCTCGCCTTTCGCGACTCTTATCTCGAGGGAGTCAACGGTTTCCGGCACGCACTTCCGCCGGAAATATTCGCTCATGGGCGTTCCTTAAGGCCCGGGTGACCTTTGACCACGTCCTCGGTGGGTTTTCGCGAGCTCAGCAGGAGGTGGCGTGACGGGCCTCTGCTTGAGTGGGCTCTTCTCACCCGCCCACGCGCGTCCACATCACGGCTCTGATGAAAATGGAAACGCGGGCGGGCGATTCTCCCATTTTCTTTCCTTCTCGCTTCATTTCATCGCTCGTCTCGCGTCGAGATGCCGAGTCCGCACTTTCGGCGACGACGCTCCTGCGCATTAAATTAACGCGCCGCCTGGCACACAACGACGCTCGATTTCGTTCGGTCGCTACTTTTTCGGCTACCCGGAGCGCCAACTACGAGATTTTAAAAAAAAAAATGCGAGTCGTCTTTACCTGCTTAGGGTCAATATCAACGAATTGGAAACAAGATTTTTGTACGAATGCGATTCGATTTATGCCATAATACGATTTTACCAAGAGCCTTTTTTGTTTCTTTTACTTTTTCTTCTTTTCTTTTTGACGAAAAGCACAGCCGCCTGAATTATTTGCTAATGTTGCAGTTTAGACGCGCACCCGTAAGCATTCTCAGAAAAGTCGATTTTAATAATTATTTACAAATTGATTTGTCGAATAAGAACAGGTGGCCATATAACAATGAGTTTCAATTCTTTTAATTGCTTAATTATCGTTTTAAATTTAAATAAGACTTGCAACATTAAATGAGAAATCTCGCGAACGATTTTGGTGTTAATTAAGGATTGAGTAAGAAGCAGAAATGACAACAGTTAATTCGCAAGATTTTGTAAAGGTTTTCTAAGATATTTATGACATACAATAATTAAAGAAGAATAATTTAACCATAAATTTGAAATGACATTTTAATCAACATTTATACTTTACGCTTGAAATAATAATTATCACGACTCGCTACGCTTCCATGAAAAACCATACGAATTGCGTAAGCATTACACACACGCGCGCATATATATATATATATATATATATATATATATATAGATGTATGTGTATGTATGTGTGTGCGCGCGTGCACGCAACAATGATCGAACTATTGGCTGAAAGGTCTAATACGACTGAATTTACCTTCTCAGCAGCACCCTCATTTACATTCGACATTTTCCGAGAGAAAAGTAAATCAATGCATTGGAAAAGGTCGTTTATGTTTCTACGTCGGGCCTGCATTAGAAAATAAAATGTCTATGGCCAATAGCATCCTTAACGATAAATTAATAGCCTTGACCGAATATTGAGTCGGAATATAGGAGCCTCCAACCCTCGAAGAGAGCATTCTTAAGGCCACGGAAAATGCCCTTCTTTGAAATTTGAAAAAAGCGTAGCAAAGGAATGCGGTAACAGTCAAGAGGGGCCAAGAGTGATAACAATTTGGATGTTACAAGGCTTCGGTCACGGCTCGTGGATGAGTAGTCGTCGCACCGAAAACCCGATGGGCAAATCCCGTAATTGACCGCACGGGGCGACCGGTACGGCGGTAAGAAGGATGAGGCGGGAGTAGCACGGGCCCTCCGAGTTCCTTGGCCCCTAAAAAAGGCAACGCCTCGTGTCGGAGTCGCACGGAGGACTATTTAGGCGGAAGTGTTGGGCGGGGCGGTGTGTGTCGGGTTGTTGGGCGGTGGCGTTGCGGTGAGGCGTGGCGGGGAACGGGGTGACGGGTCGACGGGGGGGACGGTGGGACGGTGGGACGGTGGGACGGGGGTACCGGGAAGACGAGGCCGGCCGAGTGCGGCCGAGAGGCCCCGAGCGCCGAGCCCAGCAGGTGGATGCCAGTGCCAGCCTCGGTGAAGTTACGAAAAAAGGTGAACGTCCTCGGGCCGCGCGCAACATTCCCGACCCGGCCTCGTCGCCGTCGGCCAGTCTTTTAACCTGCTTTTAAAAGCCGAATGCGCCCCCCCCCCTTCCGTCACCCCTCCACGGTACAACGGGAAAATGCACCTGCACTGGCTTTTCACACGGGGGTAGCCGGCAAAGGTCGAGGCTCTCCTTTCCCGCTCCGATAAAATCGGCTTTTCCGTGACGGAATAACGAACGCTTCGTAAGA